CCTTCCTTGTTACCGGCGCCCTTGGTGTCACGGCCATTCTTGCGTGGCTGCTGCCCCCAAGAAGGTTGAAGTCATGCACTTGTGGCCTTGCCGGTGCTGGGAAAAGACTGGAGAGAGAATCCTGTGCCTGCCCCCTCTTGCAGCAGGGACAGCCTGGCCGTGGCCCCATCTGCTCCTCAGTGGGACAAGGACAGGCCACCGACTGTCAAGTCACACGATTACTACAGAGAAAAAGTACAAACTGCTCATCCCAAACGACGGCCTTATACGAGCATCCAGGTTTTCTTTTCTCATGGATGCCCTTCTTCAGGATTCCACACACGTAAGAGCTGGTTTTAAAATATGAAGCTCTGCGTGAGAAGGCAGACTCTAAACCCACGAATCTACAGAGTCCCGGTGCAGCGCTCACCACGGCAGGTTAGCTAGCTCGAGGTGTGACCTGAATGTGGCCAATCTGTAAAGTGTGAGGTATATACCGGGTTGTGAAGACTCAGTACAGAAGAAGATAAAGAGTGTAAAATGTCTTGATAACATTGTGTAGTTTTAACACACTTAAATGGTATTTTGGATATAATGGGTTAGATAAACTATTAAAATTAATTTCACCTGTTTCTTTTTACTTTCTCAAATGTGGCTGCTAGAAAATTTTAAATTATATAAGATTAAATGGCTTGCACGTGTGGCTTGAATTATTATTATTATCCAATTATTTCTATTGGAGAGTCACACTCTATATCATCTCTTACCCTGGTATGGAAACAGAAATAAATGTTAGCTTAAATTAGTCTAGACTAACTCAGGAAAATTGAAAAAAAAAAAAAAGATGACATTGGGCTGTATAAATTATTTGCTTCATTTAGGGATTTCACAATGTCAAAACACCAAAGCATACTCTGCACCATTAAAAACAATATGAATTTTATACTAGATGGTAATTAGACTTTTATGGAAAAAGTGCTTATTCTCAGATTCTGAACCTTACAGCGCATACGGCTCTAGCCCCTCACTGTGAGGATGAGAAAGGCAAGACTTGGAGTGATAGAGTGAGTGTTTCAGGCTCCACAGTTCGAGGTAGCAGCACAAGGCTGAGGACGCAAGACCGGGCGGCGGGGCTGCTCTTGACAGCACACGACCCTTCTGAGTCAGGCCACACAGGCCGAGAAAACGCCAGGGAGAGACCCACAAGATTTCACGCTCCATTTAGAGATAAGTTCCACACGCACCTATTTTATTTTACTAAAACAGCTCATGAGGTTACTGCCCTCTATGAAATATGATAGAATATTTCTCAGAATAATTGAGTTTTAGCTTTAAAAAAATTGCTATGGAAAAATTGGTACTGTGTTTTTAAGAAAAATCACTGATAACTCTGAAGAAAGGGCAACTGATTAATTTTACCATAAAAAAGCTCACTACAGGGGCTTCCCTGGTGGCGCAGTGGTTGAGAGTCCGCCTGCCTATGCAGGGGATGCGGGTTTGTGCCCCGGTCCGGGAGGATCCCACATGCTGCGGAGCGGCTGGGCCCGTGAGCCATGGCCGCTGAGCCTGCGTGCCCGGAGCCTGTGCTCCGCAATGGGACAGGCCACAGCAGTGAGAGGCCCGCGTACCGCAAAAAAAAAAAAAAAAAGCTCACTACATGAACCAGTACCTAGAATTGTTCCACATTTATGACTGTCGTGGTGACTGATCCCTGTGTGAAGATGCTCTGCCTTATTTATTCATCCCAGTGACAGAAGCACCTCCTTCAAGGTGGTCCAGTGCACGACGTGTTCCCTGAGCCTGGGCTCTGCAGGTGGGTACAGTGAAGGTCTAGTTCATGTCTAACACAGAGAAAACAGCAGTGCACATCACATATTTGATCTGGGTAATAGACGGGCCGTCCAAGAGTAACGTTTCTAAAAGTCATAAGCTTTCCCTACATACAGATTTGACTAACCAGAGCTGGGAAGCCGTCTCCAGGGACATGCTAATGTCTCCCAAGGAAAGCCCATCAGAAAGTTCAGCTGCCCTGTCTTTGGACCATTAACACTGTATGTGGAGTGAGGCTGCATCCCTGAACACCGACCGTGGAAAAGTAATTCTTCTCAAATGAAAACTGGCATGTTAAGTGTACCCTCTGGGTTCGGGGCATGTTTCCCATCCCCAAATAAAATTTTAAGCACAAAGAGACAGAAATGCTCTCTCCTGCTGCTAACTGTTTTATTTAGTCATCTGTCAAATAAGGGAAAATGGCAAAAAAAAAAACCCAAACCTTTATATTTTCATTTCCTTGTGCCTGTTCTTTCCACCATTTAAAAAAAAACCGTGGAGCTCGTCAAAAGAACAAGCCATCGTCAGGAGAGGGACACGCCTTCCCCGTCGCACTGGCTCATTTTCCAGGGAACGGAGTTACCGCAGACAAAGGACGATGCCGCACATGTACAGTAACAGCAGTAACCACTCTGACTCGCGACATAAAGTGACCCATTAAAAGATTTAAATGTTCCTCATTAACTTTTATCGGCCTCAATTTTTAACTTTTCTCCTCCTCTTGAAATTAAAAATGAGCATTCCCTCCACCTGTGTGCCCCTTCAGGCGGCGCATTCAGGCTCAGCGAGGTCTGGGGCAAACACCACAAACAACGAACTCCCTGGGCGGAGTTTCCTTGAATGTCTCCAAACCCTTCCTAAAAAGTCCTAAGTCTGAGGCTACATGGTTTAAACTGAGGGGAAGGATCAGAGATTTCACAGTCCTATTCTTCCAGGGTTTATCACTCCTAATCACTAAAAAGAAGCAACGAAAATTGAGTCCTTTCTACGTGCTAGGCATTATGTTAAGCACTTTAAATTTATCTCATGTAGTAAAATTTGTGAAAAGTAGTGCCCACCCCTTAATAAACATGATACCCACAAAGAAAGAGAAAAAGATGCCCTGAGGGTGTTCCTCTCTCCACAGCTTGTGTATCTGAGCTGCACACTGTGATGCTGGCGGGGGTGGGAGGGGGGCAGAGCGAGGGATGAACAAAACCTTTTGATTTGTTTCTAGAAACAATGATGTTATGTTAAAAAGTAGCATTTCAGAAAATGAAAAGTGCGTGCACATTTGGTCAGAACATTTTCGAAATATAGGAATGTTACAAAAAAAATATAGAATTTCACCTCCATGTGCACATTCACCTGTGGAAATATATTCGATGCCAGGTGATCTCTGCCTGCACTGAAAGAAATCACCTTTAATAAGCAGATTTACCTTCTCTCCTGTCACACAAAATAGGAACTGAGTAGAGAGACTCCTTCAGTTATAAAACTTACTGTTATTATTTATCGTTAATTTGATTATTGTTGCTACATGATCCTTTTTGAAAACTGGTTAATATATATCCTATAGCTCATATGTAGATATGAACAAAAAACGGAATATTTTTCAGCCACAAAAGGAAGGAAATCTTTCCATTTGCAGCGACGTGGATGGACTTGAAGGGCATTATCCTAAGTGAATAAATCAGACAAAGAAAGACAAATACTGTCTGACCTCACTCCTATGAGAGAAACCTACGAAATACAGCAAGCAGAAAACGGAGCTCATCAAAACAGAGCACAGGTTGGTGGCTGCCGGTGTGGGGGAGGAGTCGTAGTAAAAGGCGAGCGACGGGGGAGAAGGGCGTCAAAAGGCACAACCGTCCAGTTCCGGGGATGTGACGCACCGCAGGGTGACTACAGTTAACAGCACTGTGTTGCATACTTGAAAGCTGCTAAGAGTAGAGCTTAAAAGTTCTCATCATAAGAAAAAAAATTGTAACTATACAAGGTGACAGGTGTTACCTAGACTTATCGTGGTGATCATTTTGCAAGATATACAAGTATCAAATCTTTATGCTGTACATCTGAAACTAATGCAATGTTACACGCCAACCAGATCTCAATGGAAAAAAAAACTATTGTTAGCTGACCCTAATTTAAGAAAACTTGTATTGCTGCAAACATGTCGATTCCATCCACAGTCACCTCAGGTGGCTGGCAGGCAAACTTGGTAGCCCACTATCTACAAGAAATTGTAGAAGCAAGTTTTCCTCCTCAAAGAACACAATGGTGTAATTCTTTTTAAAAGACTATATTTCAGTTACAGAGAAAACTACTACTACTATGTCAAAAATGACAATAACATGCCTTTGGTCACCTTGCAAACTTTAGACTTGAAAGCAGCCTCTAGTGCAACTTTCCCATCACCCCAGCTGAGTTCCGAGGCCACCAGTGTAGCAGCAGCGCTCAGAGACTGCAGGGCCGGCTGGCTACAGCGCGCACGCGGCTGCTCAGGGACAGGAGCCCCAGCCAGCTGGTTCCGCTGAGGGACGCCCCGTTTCTTTATAAAATCCGGAAAAGCAGGGACGGGCGAACACAGAAGTGCAGGTACGGCAAGACGGAGAGCTCACAGGAGATTCACGTGAGTACAAGCACGGCTCCGCATGGTGTCCCATCGACACCAACACGGGGTGGCAGGGAGCACGAGAGAGGGCAAACGACACAGGAGGTGCAGGCCGAGATCCGCACGGTCGCCTGACGGCCGCGAGCTGCCAGCAGCTCTTCACAGGCAGTGCTACAGGGTGAGAAGCCAATCGCACGCGATCTGTGTTGGACTGAGCACCCACGAGCTGCCATCAAACAAAACCGGGAGCCTGTTAAGCCAAGGCTGAAGAGGCCACACACGCTCTGCACCCCGACTGCTCGCTGTCTACTTCACACCACTGTCACGACCACACGAAGCCCACGTGGGGCAGCACCGGACACAGGTCCTGGGAGGGGGTGAGACCGCGCCGGACGCGGGTCAGGGGCCGGGCGGGCCAAGAGCCTCGTGCCCGGGGCCAGTGCAGAGCCAGGCCCCCTGCGACACCACGTGGGGCGGGCAGGTACCCCCTGCAGCGTCCCCTCCCACCTTCGACCAGAGAGAGAGTCTTTGCGAGTGAAAACCTGGCCCTACGAGCCCCTTCCCTTGCAGAGCAGAACGGCCACAGGCCAGGGCTCACCGTAAGTCCGCGGCCTTCTCTTCTTCCCAGCCAGGGCACAGGCCACGGGGGTGGCCACTGCTGCTGCCGCCGTGGGTCACGGGAGACGCAAGGGCCGCAGCGTGGACTCCAGGCCGTGAGGAGAGAGGAGCCCCTGCAGGCCCCCGTCACTTGCGGCTGAGTGTGGCTCCTAAGTGACAGGGAAGCACCCGGGGGACCGTCTCCGCGTGAATGGCTAAGGCGTCACGCAGCTCTCTCGCTGGCTACGTGATCTGCTGGAAGCCACAGCGGAAAGACCACGGGGGCCTGCAGCCGTGTTGAGACTGAACTGTTTCAAGTCAGTGAACGTCTCTGAGGAATGAAGGGCTTCACCTGCCAGAGGAAGGGGCTGCATCAGTTGCTTCTAAACTAGATGCACCAACGAGGCTGCTCTGGTCTGAGTCCATCCCGTTTCGGTGCCCCTGCGTCAGGTGCTCTGAAGGCTCCGTGCGTTGCAAGCAAGGGTGAGCGTGGAGGCCAGACGCGGAGGATGCGTGCGTGTGCGTGCGTGTGCAGGCGGCCCAGCCAGCCCGGTGAAGGCCCCTGCAGGGGCCAGGTGAGGTTCAGCCCCCGACCCGACGGGCGCAGGCGCGGCAGCCTCAGGTGGGACAGGACCTCGAGTGCCGCACTCCAGTCACCAGCCTTGGCTCCGCAGTGGAGACGCTGCTGCTGGCCGTAAGGAGAAGGACGATGGTCTCTGTGCTTCAGAGGCGGCTGGCCGGCAGCAGAGCCGACATGGGAGCCCGTCCAAGCCGGCACAAGGCAGGCTCTCAGCCCTCGGGTGCTGGTCAGAGACAAACTGAGCTATTCTCTCTCCAAGGCTTATTTTGGAGGAAGAAGGATAATAGCGTCTATCTCACGAGACTGCTGTGAAAGTCAGCTTGTAAAAAGTGTCAAGTAGTTTATACGTTCAGTACTCAGTAAGGTCTTAAACTTGGAAATAAAGGCTAAACATATATTTGAATGAACAGCATTTCAGATTCAGAGAAAGGTCTTTTCTTTAAAACAACAACTGACACATAGAGCAGGTTAAAAATAAAGGGCCGTCCAGGAGATTCTGGTTTCCCAGTTATTCCCACACAGGCTGGCCGCTCCTCCAACCCACTACGGAGATGGGAAATGAGCTGCAGACACCGTCCTTTCACCTGCTGAACGCGAGCTCACGTGATTATCATGGTTTCCTTGAATGGCAGCCCTTCCCAATCAGATCAGGAGGCTTTAGCTACTGCAGGAAGGAGGGGAGGCCGGCAGCCACCTCTTGGCGGGAGAAGGCGGTTCACGCGTGCCCAGCGCAGTCAAGCGCCAGCCGGGACCCTGGAGGCTCCCGCTGCTGCAAGAGGCCTTGGGGCGCAGAGCCAGGGCTTCCCACTCCAGATGCTGGTGACCCATCAGAGACGCTCTCGGCGGGGGTTTAGATCCCCGCCACCTGAGAGAAGGGGAAGGGCGGGGCCCAGAGGAGGAGGGAGGGAAGGAGGGGAGGGCCAGAGCCCTGCAAGCCAGGAAGGACCCGACAGGAATGTCACCTAAGCCTCCGCAGCCTCTTCGAGCCCACGAGCCTCCTGAGGTCCCACACCGGGACCTCGTTAGGGCTCATTTCAGCAGGTGACTCACTTGGCTCAGCCGTTCGCTGATGCTTTGGTTTCCCAGAGCCTCAGGCAGACAGTTCACGACAATGAGGCTTTCAGCCGCCGCTGACAGCAGGCGGTGGAATTCAAGCCACCTAGGTCCTTTCTTCCAACTTCTCACTTCAGGTTTTTTGAAGATAAGGATCAAATGAAATGATTTCTGTTAAACCTGTATTTCCTGTACAGAGTTGATACCTTCTCCAAATTACATGATTGTACAACTACTAAACTAATACTCACTGCAGCGGAAGTCTCCGCTCAGAACATGGAGCTATAGCCTTTTAACTCGGGGTCCTCAGATATTGCAGCTTCTTCCTAACCCAATTCCTCGGAACTGGGCTCCATCTCACAGGGCAGGGGAGGCCCTAAAGCCAGCGGCACAAATGCTGGTTTATCCCTAATTCCTGGTGAGGGTCAACGCTGGAGGCCAGTGAAAACAATAGCTGTCACATCTCACAAGAAGGACTAAATGTACCAAGAAGCCGCCCTGAAACGCAGTGCGGGTCACAGTCAGGGGCCTGGCTGGAACCTGCCGTTGGAAGGCCAGGGCACCTCCCTTCAAAGCCAGCCTTTTTCCTGTAAAAAATGCAAATAGTAATTCCTGCTCTCCTAACCGTGGGCTGACATCTGTCAGGAGAATCAAATCCAAAGATGTAAGTGATAAAGCACTACACAAACACAAGAGGATAACCTTCAGAGCTTTAAAAAAAAAAAGGTCCAGTGAAAGCGCTTTGTATTTTGTTTGCAAACTTGAAATAGTAAGGGGAATAAGACACATCTCATATTTTCTATAAATTCGTTTTCATAAATTTTATAAAGAGCTGATCACATAGGGAGATTCCACTCATTTCAAGTATTTATGGGGCATCTGTTCTGTATCAGGCAGGTTGCGAGGCACAATTAGAAGAGGAACAAAATCCAGTCGTGCCTTCAAGCAGCTGAGAGGGACAGACACAAGATAACCAACCACATCCTTTCCTATGTTTGTGGAGGAGTGATTTTATTCTCCGAGATTTCAGATCTTAGATTCTGCAGGAAGTAATGAACAATGATTTAAGCTCGACCATTTTCTTTAGAATATGAGAAGATACAGCAAAAGTGATCTCAAATATTTTACATAGCTCACAGATAGCAGGAGACTGCAGAGTAATTTCGTCTCTTTCTTTAGGATCTTTACTAATAATTTCCAAATGAGGCTTCCGTCAACAGCGCAGACTGTTTCACAGATGGTTTCTCAGTTTTGCCTTCAGATAATTCTGCTTCTGTAAAACTTCACCTGTGAATTATTTGGGTTTCGTGGAAGCCCCATCCATGATCTTCTTTGCTAAAATGAGAGGGGATCTTCACTCAACAGCCCCCAGGTTCATCCACTCGGGCATATTGAGATTGCAGGCAGAACACAACCATGGCCTCTAGAACGACTCGAAAGGCTACGTGGGAAAACCCTTTGGAAATTTGGTCCCAAGAGATGGTGGCTTTTGAAGATTCTTTACAATAAGGCATCAAGAACATGGAACAAAGTCAATATCCTGTTTTGAAGCTATTTAGTCAAGGTGTCAAACACCTCATTCCTGCACAGTATCTATTCCAAACAAGAGCCCAGAGCATTGCCTTCTCCTGCAAATCATCACTAAGCGTAGGTGACGTCATACTTTGAGAGGCAATTACATCCATATCACATGAGGAGTCTTGTCACTACAATTAAAGAGCCAGTTTTCATTGTGGGAGGAAGCAGACAGGAAGCGGGCGCCAGCAGGGACAGGAGGGAGGGCGGAGGGGCAGAGAAAGGACAGGGCCAGGCAGTGAGGAGGGGACGGCAGCCGAGGGACCCTTGCCAGGCACTTGAGACAAGAGTGAATGAGTCCCACCATTTACACGGTTATGTTCAGGAACTGACCCGTGACTTTCTTGGGTACGAGTGGTTGCTTGGTGGCCTGCAGGGTATGCTGACACAGAATCGGGGAGGGGGGTGACCTGGAGGGGGGGCCAGGATGCTGCTCATTGCAGCTAACTGCTGCCCCTGAAAAGGTGAGTGGCGTCTACACACCAGGCGCTGTGTCTTCTGAGGGGGCAGCCCACCACCCTACACTCGCTTCTTCCTCTCTCCACACAGACACACACACACACCTTTGCCAAGAACCACTTTTCTAATTTAAAGTCAGATGCTCAATTCTACCTTTTTAAAACACACGGAAAATCTGATCTCACAATGCACCCACCTCCATGTTTCTAACTTATCTGTGGATGAAAACTTGAGGCATATCCATCCTAGAAGCTTCATTTGTTAACACAACGAAGTAAACAGGGCCTGCAGTTTATAGGGTGTGGGGCATGGCTGCTCCCGTGGTGTCATCCCCAACCCGTGAAGACCTGGCCATGGAAATATGGCAACTACGACTTCCTGCACGTCTGCTGGGTGGGGTCTGACTGGAGAACGGGATCAGGTACCGTTGACTCTTAGAGATGCAAACCCAAGAGGAAATCAAACTCCTCTCCTGAGTGTGAAGAAGAGATGTCCCAACAAGCAAGCTTCCCCTTACACAGAATCTCAGGAAGTTTAAATGCATCCTTTCCTTCCAGATCTGTGTGAATTAATACCAGGTGCAAAATGCCAGCAGCAGCCTGCACGAGGAGGAGAGGGGGCCTGAGACACAGCAGTCACCTCCCCAGCTCTGTCACCAGGCTCCCGTCCCCGCCAGAGGCCCCCTGCTCCCCCCAGATCTCTGTCACCTGCTGAGACCAAAGCTGTCCTGAAGGTCAACTCACTTGGCGGCCAAGGAACAGGGAGGGTGGGCGGTTCCCAGCTCATTTCCCCAAACACACCCTGTGCATCTGGGCCTCATGCATCCAGCCAGTGGGAGGGGTTCAGGGAGAGCCGACAGCCAGCTCAGTGGCTCTGAACTGCCAGATACTCCTCCTGCCCTGGGACCACAAGTGGCAGAAAGAGAAAAGGACAGAAGGTAATTTTCTGTCTCTCCGGGAAACAGAAAGTCACCCGGATCCCACTGTTGCCCTCACTTCAGCCTAAGTCAGGGGTATGGCTCGGGCATCAGGCCCGGGCCGGGGACCAGGCGGCCTTCACCTCCGTGGTCACCTTGGCTTTGAGCAATCACGTCCCCTCAGCTCCCTCGTCTGTAAGAGGAGGACGGACTCACCCTGTCTGGGGGCTTGTGCACATTATAGAAGACGATGAAGTTTCTGGCATGTAATACATGCCTAACATTTGGCAATTATTCTTTTTTTTTTTTTTTTTTTTTTTTCGATACGCGGGCCTCTCACCGTTGCGGCCTCTCCCGTTGCGGAGCACAGGCTCCGGACGCGCAGGCCCAGCGGCCACGGCTCACGGGCCCAGCCGCTCCACGGCACGTGGGATCCTCCCGGACCGGGGCACAAACCCGCATCCCCTGCATGGCAGGCAGACTCTCAATCACTGTGCCACCAGGGAAGCCCGGCAATTATTCTTATTTTTATTTCTGAAAGTAGCTTTTTATTACTAATCTGGGCTCCCTGACCAAAAAGAAAACAATTAAAGGAATATATTAAAATTCAGATGAACCTCAAAACTTCTCCCCTGATAATGTGAAAGTCCCCGGATTGCCTCTAGGCCAGGTTTCTCTTCGGGAGCATCTGTCCTGTCAGCCGTGGGCAGCAGAACCTCATGATATGTTTAAATGGCTTTTTGCAGAGTCCTGGAAAGAGCTCAGACTCGGGTCTCTTGATTACCTGTGTATCCCAAGAGCAAAGGACCATCCCGTAGGTGGAAAAGCTTAAGGACTCTTGTGGCCTAGCCCTTAACAATAACTTATCTCTCAATCTTTTCTGGCTAATTCTATCAAGGTGCAACCACAGTGGGACCTCTTTAGCCAAACGGCTACTGTTCATTTTATTTAAGCTCAGGGCACCATTTCCCAACTGCGCACTGCTAGACGTTAATGCCCACTTTTCACTAGAAGGGGGGCAAGGTAAGATGTGTTTGGAAAACCCTCTACTACTCCCAGCAGGCCTAGTGCAGGCTCACATATGCTAAGTTCTGAGAAGGTGGTCTTATAGGAAAGAAATCTGCTGACCTTTACGCAGTATAGCACTGTCTTGTCAGGAGGGTTTGGCTTTGGGCAGGGTCATTTGTAGCAGCTAGAACCACGGCCATGGGAGATAGTCCACAGAGGTGCTGAAGGAACAATGTTCCAGGCACTGCTGGCGCACTGCTGCTGCGATGCTGCTGCAATGCTGCTGCACTGCTGGTGCAATGCTAGTGCACTGCTGCTGCAATGCTGCTGCAATGCTAGTGCAATGCTGCTGCAATGCTGCTGCACTGCCGGTGCACTGCTGCTACGATGCTGCTACGATGCTGCTGCACTGCTGGTGCACTGCTCCTGCAATGCTGCTACGATGCTGCTGCACTGCTGGTGCAATGCTGCTGCAATGCTGGTGCAATGCTAGTGCACTGCTGCTGCAATGCTGCTGCACTGCTGGTGTACTGCTGGTGCACTGCTGCTGCAATGCTGGTGCACTGCTCCTGCAATGCTGCTACGATGCTGCTGCACTGCTGGTGCAATGCTGCTGCAATGCTAGTGCACTGCTGCTGCAATGCTGCTGCACTGCTGGTGTACTGCTGGTGCACTGCTGCTGCAATGCTGGTGCAATGCTGGTGCAATGCTGCTACGATGCTGGTGCACTACTGCTGCACTGCTCCTGCAATGCTGGCTGCCTGAGCTCACCCGACGTGGCACACAGCGCCGCGTGCTCTCATGAATACGAGCTGATGCTCCGAGTTCATGATGGGAGTCAGGCGTAAGAACAGGTTGCGGTCAGGGCACAGAAATATTTAAGAAGATGAAGATATTTTAAAAGTTTGGATTGTCAACGGACCTTATCCCATAAGAAATGCATATTTTTGAAAACCTGTGTTTGTGTAAATTGTGTATTTATAGCCCCGAGCCATTAGCACTACAGCAATTTTTAAATAGTCATTTTTTTCTCAAAACACAACAATAACTGCAGATGTTAATTACAGCACCTGGGTGGTGGGTATATGTCTGTTCACTGTAAAATTAATGCAACAATTCTGCATCTTTAACAATGTTTCTAATAAAATAATATAAAAGATGTAACTGCACATGACTTGTTTATTCTAAAGCGCCATGTAATTTAATATAGTTTTTATATTCTTCATTTCAAGTTGAAATACCTCTTACCCACTCAAATAATTTTTAAATCATTTTGATCTAGGAAACAAGACTAAGAACAGAAGTTAGTGAATCTGAATCAGCAACAGGAAATGGGTTTGTATAAATTGTTGGAAAAATGTTTACAAGGAAGAGATAGATTCTCATCAGGGATGTATAGCACATTAATGCTGATTTTTAACAGGATGGCTATTATGCCCTTTTCACAGATGGATAAATTGATGTATAAAACCTTGTTAAGGGCTTCCCTGGTGGCACAGTGGTTGGGAGTCCGCCTGCCGATGCAGGGGACACGGGTTCGTGCCCCGGTCCGGGAAGATCCCACGTGCCGCGGAGCGGCTGGGCCCGTGAGCCATGGCTGCTGAGCCTGCGCGTCCGGAGCCTGTGCTCCACAACGGGAGAGGCCACAACAGTGAGAGGCCCGCGTACCGCAAAAAAAAAAAAACACCTTGTTAAGACTTAGGCTCACTGACCCAGCTGGGATCACCTACACCCAGTCTGGCAAACGCTCTCTACTCTTCATCATTAAAATTCATCCATAAATAAGAACGTATTAGTCACTTAACCTAAAGATAC